ACGATCAAAAAGTGTGTACTTACTTTTGGGACACCCTTTAGTACAGGGTGTCCCAAGAAATGTCCTTCGATGTCGCTTTGAGGTAACTCCTTGTCAAAGTCATTGACCGACCTCTTGGCACCCTTCTGTGGAGCTGGCTCCAATGCGACAATGAGCGATTGCTGAAAACGATATGGAAGTTGACGTTAAATTTCTTCAAAAATAGTGAACGACTACCGTTTTTTCCATATCTCGTGCCACGCAATCTGGCAGTTTGCCATATTTCTTCAAATTCAATACTGGCAGATTCAACATGCAGAGCATGTAAAATTTTCGTGGGTTGATAATGTGCTCTATCTTCAATACATTTGGAAACCTGTTACGATGAGTTATGAACGATTGGAGCACCGTGCCTTAAACACCAGCGTAAGGCCTAGGGCGCTGGTGTTCAAGGCACGGTGTCGGCAATTGAGTCTCACAAGGCCTACATGAACTTGTTAGCTGGACGTACACAAAGCGCTCTCGAGTATCAGCATTACAGAATGGACTACAGAGGTTTACGCATAGCTCTGAACGTGCATCTGACTTGAACATCCAAGTTTACTGAGAATCACATTGTTGTCAAGGGGCTCTAAATCAGTTTACAACGAGGATGGAGAAATTGAAAATTCCATTCAATCCTCTAAGTAGACATCTTTGAAGATACATGTACCAATCAGGGCCAACCTTTAAAGGTGAGACCAAAAAGCAAAGAGGAAAACAAAATTGCTTCAAAACGCTTTAACGGGAAAAAATGAAAGAACAAATAAATTCTTCTCTATCATCAATCACTGTAAAAGTCATTCATGTTAATAAGGCGACAATAGTGAAGGATACTAGATTCCCAACGGTAACCTAATTTTTTTGTACCTATATTGAATGATAGAAAGTTCGCCGATTGCGTTCCTTTCATCTGCTCATTTAATTATTTATTTTGTCGCCCAAAGCCGCGCTTCAATACAATAAAAACACAAGCGAGCAAGTCGGATCGAATTACGCAACAGATAGAAAAAACAACATATTTGCACCGTACATTAATGAATCGGTTATCCAGGTTGATCGGTTATGTCTACTTTGACCTACTTCGCACTCAATGGAGGAAAATAGGGACATATCACAACGTTGGTATATAATACAGTGCTGACCGAAACTTTGCGACCATTTTGGAATACACTGTAACTTACTTTGTTTCGCATAGAACGAATCAAGATCTTGACATTACGTACGAATAACACTGTTTTAACATTATGTCAAAGAATTTTGCAGTTTCATGCACACAGAAGAGGGCTTTGGGGAAAATGGCAGAAACGGCCAATTCGAGGTTGGTCAAAACTTG